TACCTCATTTATCATGTTAGGTTTGCCTTGTTCATTTTTATATTTAAGATCGTTCATACATGAAAGTCAAGATAGATGACCCCTCAGAGACAGGGTCAGGAGTAATGGTTCCCTGAAGGTATGGGAAGAGATGGGGGGCTGGGAGAGGGAGAATGGGGAACTGATAGCCTTGATGGCTGTATAATCTCACTCGATGGGATCAAACAGCAGAATTGTATGTGAATGGATTTATTGGAGTGTAAGATATGGCACATACACACGAACTATTACAGGGTAAAAAAAAAAAAAGAAGAGTTCCTAGTGGGGAGGGGGAAAGAGGGCTCCTCAAGTGGAGCCAATATCAAGGAGTTCAAGAAGGAATAAAATGTTTTGAAACTGATTGTGGCAGTAGCAATTGTATACCACGTGATGTGATTGGACAGTGGAATGTTATACCTGGAAGCGCTCCCAATAAAATGGAAAAAAATTGAGAAAAAAACCCAACTATTTTCCTAAGCCAAAAAAAGAGAGAAAGAAACTGTTTCATATTAACAACAACAAAGAAAGAAAGCTTGAGAAAGTTTCTTTTGTAAAAGAAGCTCTAAACTCAGTGTCCATTGCTCTAGAACAGGGGTCTAGAATATTGCACTAGAACTGCAAACTGCAGCAATTTCGGTGGCTCTGAAGTAAAATTGAAAATGAAACCATTATTCAGCTCATGATTTCATTCATTTGTAAAAATATATCTATGGCTCTTGAACAACTGCTGTGAGGGACAGGATTGGCTCTTCCATCTCAAAAGTTTGCCGACCCTGCTTTAGAGGGAAGCATGCGGTGGGTCCTGTTTCACTGTAAGTATAAACTGCAGACAGAAAGGTTCAAGGTGACCCTGGCAGGTCTTCGTTGTGCTCCAACAAGGCTGTTTTGGGGCTTTTGATTAAAACTGGGTAGGAATCAGGCTATTCCTGCTACTTGTGGGTTACAGGAAAGACTCACGAGAGAAGCAGGCGGGCAGACTGGTAGGAAACCTCACTGGGTTTTCGCAAGCAAATCCACACATCATCATGGCTGAGAAGAGCAGAAACACGTTGGGGCTCCTCTAGGGCCATTTGCTCTATATTTTCTAAGAAAAACTTACCAATCCAATGAGAGAAACAACATGTTTGCATGGGCTCCTCTAGGGCTATTTGCTCTATATTTTCTAAGAAAAACTTACCAATCCAATGAGAGAAACAACATGTTTGCTTGGGCTCCTCTAGGGCTATTTGCTCTATATTTTCTAAGAAAAACTTACCAATCCAACGAGAGAAACAACATGTTTGCTTGTATAGCATCCCTATTTTAGAATTGAGATCCTTAAAATTTCCCCTTTGTGAGCACAGGTGGAGAAGTTATGGAAAGAAACCCGACTCTAACTGAACAGATGTGATATTGGGAATAAAAACAAATTAAAGCAATATTGCAAAGGCCTCTCCACTGTCGTTTTAAGTCTCTGCGCTGATGGTTTTCAACTTTTCACATTCAACCTGTATTGAGTATATCAAGTGACAAAATGAAAAATCAACTTCAGCTGTGGGTATTTTAAACATTGACCTAAATGATTTGGACAGTCAAGATGAATGTATTAAACTGCTTATTATATTTTTTATGAACCAAAACTTCATATTTTCTGGTACAGACAGTGCCCAGTTCTGTTTGCTGACATTTGGTACAGAAAATGGAATTGAACGGTGGCCTAATTAGAACAGTAAATCGTATGGGTTTAATTACCCCTTATTCCTGATGACAGAGTGGATCAGTTGCCAGATATTTATCCTTTCCTTTTACTTCACTGGTCCTGAAATATTGCCTTTCGTGTGACTGCTCACGGGGCTAGAAATAGGAGGCTTGGCAAAAAGCCATGAAACCCACTGACCACTGAGACTTTGGTGGAAACTGTTGGAAGGTCCCACCTTGCTTCTAGTCATTATTTCTTCATTTCACTTTTGAAGGGTCTTTTTACAGTCCCCTTATTTTAATTCAGTGAGTTTTTTTCTTCTGGTTGGATGAGGTAACTTGTCTGAGGGCTTACGGAAACCTGTGCAATATCACATCGTGCAGTCTCGTGGTATGTCATGGTTTCCCTCATAAACCCTTC